TTTCGATATCATTATTTTATTCCATTCTCAAGTTCTTTGATTTCTACAAAAAATTCAAATTTACAAAATCAAATTAATATGCATTATTTATTATGCAATACAGAGTTTTTGCATTTTGAATAAAGTGCATTAAATATATTATACAACTTAATTTAACATGCATTTGTGTAATAAAAACGCAGTATTTGTTATTTTATAAAATTGAGAAATTATATTTTCACATTAAAAATAAAATCAGTTTTGTGTAGAATCGACAGTAATAGTTTATTAATTTATAAAAACATTAAACAATCCTCATAATTTTGGCAAATTCTGTGTTGAAACAAAGGGGCACAGTTATGTTTTTGTTTTAAACTGTATTTAGAAAAATATACCGGTTTTAACTTTAGCCAACTAGTACTTCAAAATAAAAAGCGATTTGAAAAAAAAGAAAGAAAGAAGTGATTTTTGTTTTCAAACCTTGCTATATTTTTTTCGTTAGAAAGAAAAACAATATTAATATTTTAAAAAAAATGTGATCGCCGAAAGGTGATCAAAGGTTACTCATTGGCAAAATGGTTGTTATCGAGTATTTTTTACCCTCTTTATTTGTGACATTCACTTGAATTAGTATTGAAAACGATCAAGTTTGGACTGTGGGTAAGAATTTCTGATTCTTAATTAAAACAATAAAAACAAAAATATCGTTCAAATGAGGAAATTCTCTTTTATTCACAACTCCAGAAGTATTTATGGGATGTAACTGGTCCCATATCTCAATAAATAAACTCACCAACTTGATGCATAACAAAATTTAAAAGTGAAAAAAAGAATTCTAAAAAAATGATCAAACAGCAGCGCTTTGCCATAGCAACGCATGCAATGACGGCGCATGCGCACTGTTTACTATTACTCTTGAACACAGTTGAAAAGTGCTGTGACTACCAAATAAGGTGCGCTCGCCATCAAACCTAAAACAAAACCCATTTTGACAATGGGTTAAAATTAAGATAAAGATAGAAATGTACAGTTTGCTGCGCTACATTTCGAAAACCGTGTTGTAGGTACTCGCCAAGTTCCAAAATCAGTTTGAAAGTTTACTCAAAGATGAAAATGCTGATTATTCCAAACAAAATGTTTGCATATGCTTCTGATACTTTTATCCTCAGATCATATCATCGTTTAGCTGCATTTTTCGAATACTGTTTGCAGATTTTACTTACTTAGCCCCGCCCTCTTTTGACGATATTTCTGACTAATTTTGAAACTTTATGAGAATGAATGTAATTTTCGGAGCGGAATGTAGCAAACTGTACTGTCTACATAAGTTTTTCTAATTACTCAATTCTTCGGTATTTTTTGAGACATCCGATAACAATATCATAATATCTCTATGGCTTTTAATGTAATGAATTTAATTTATTCTAAGTAAACATAAATATATGCAATAAAATTAATATTTATGTAAATTTTGAGTTCAATTAACAAAAGATGGCGATAAATGCAACAAAGAATATAATTTTAACGCGAGAAGTAATTTTCATTGCATGAGTTACAAAGTAAAGTATTTTTTAAAGCTCTTTGAAAAAAGTAGGTAGAAACACGAAAGAAAAAATTAAAAAAAGAGAAATTTTTTTCATGCTTGTTTGTTGTTGGAAGAGGTACTTTCTAGAATACAAATGAAATATGCTTTGGATTCTTTTATTACGCGTGGAATTTGCATCATTATATTTTTTTTTTCAATTTCGCATTGTTTCTATTTTCCTCTGTTTAAAATTTAGTTTCTGTTCTGTTAAAAATATTTTTTTTCTCCCTAAACGCATATTAAAGAATTCAAATGGAATTTAGTTAAAAAGCAAATATTTATTTTTTCTATAAAAATGTTCTCTTTTTAATTTTCTTCTCGTTCGAACTGTTTTAAGGTACAGATTATAAATAATAAAAAATAGTTCAAGTTGCTGGAAATTTACTCGAATAAAAATATTTAATTGCCTAAAAAATTTGAAAATAGTTTTGCTTGTTTTCTCTTTAAGATTATTTTATCGTACCTCAGTTTGAAAGTCAAATCTAAGATCTGCTTTTCTTTTTAGTTTGGCAGTATTAAGAAACTATGAATAGAATTAAATTTTTTTAAAAGTTAAAACTGAGTTAAATTTAGTTCAAATAAAATTTACAATAGCGAGGATCTGTAAGTAAAAAAGTGACGCAAGTAAAAAAACAACGCAAATGTTTTTCTATGCATGGCAAAATAGCTACTCTTCCCAACATAATGTACATATTTGGCGCCACCCTACGCATATAAGCCTAACTAATTAGAAAATGAGTTAATAGTTTTCTTTTATTATTTTCATCTGAATTATGTATTAGTAATCATTATGAGGTTGTTTTATCTTAATTACATGAAATATTTAAATGCTTTTTTAAAGGATAGCAAATATTAATGAAGATCTATATGGATTTTTTTATTAAGATTTGACGTTTAGACATTGAGAAAGGAAGTTTAGAACTAAAACTACAGCATGCCCATTTCTGCACTTTGATTTGTTATTTACTTTAGTTTATACTTTTTGTTTATAAATATTATCTTCAAGTTCGAAATGTAAGGTCGAGTAGTAAAAATTTCTAAACAGAAATCCATCAAAGCCAAAACATGCGTGAAATAAAAAAAAAAAATCTTATGTCAATTGATGTGTTTAGTGGAAAGAGTTTATAGGTACATTAAAAAAATAGACATTTCAGGAGAAAGGTTGTTATTTTTATTCTTGCTTAAATATGCAATATTGAATTACTTTGCAAAATCGTTAAATTTCCGATTCCCGCAGTGCACCGATCGTAAAGACACGGTTCGCAGTGGAAGATCAAAGTCTACTTACTTAATTTTTTTTTACATTTTTGAAAAATGCTAGTTGTAAATGGTTAAATGGTTATAATTTTGTATTCATGGTTTTATAACTATACTTTTTGTAAATGGTTTCAAAACCACAAAAGAAAAAAAATGTCTTTACCGTAAACTTAACGGTTAATCGGATAGACAGACAGCAGTCAGTTATTTTACCATAATTTTAGAGTGAAAATTTTAACAGTGTATTACTAGCAATAATACGAGTTGCTGCTTCGATACTTGTTTAAAAAATTATTATTATTATTAATATTTTTTGAGAATGCATATCATACTACGAGTCCATTACTTTAAATAATTAATTAAAAGGACGTTTAAGATAAAAATGACGGTAGATGAAAAAACAGTTTCACACAAATGGCAATTCCGCAATAGGATGGGGAATTGCGAGAAATTAAATTTTCCAAACGTCTACTTAAGCTGAATGAAATATATAACACGTTTTTTCTTCTTCATTGTTTAAAAAATCAATAGTTCTCCTTTTCGGAATAAAAATATCTCAAAAATAATATAAAAGTATTTAGATAATAAAAAAAAACTTTTTGTGTGCAAGTATTTTTATGAAAAACATGGTGGTTCTGGTGAGTGTAATATTTAAATATTATTATTGTTATTATTAGCGCTTATGTTTGTTTTCAATATTTTCTTTACATAAGATTGAAAAAAATACAGTCAGATCAGTAAACATATTTTGCGTTGATATTCTAAACTAAAATCCTAGATCTGCAAAGAGATAAAAGCAGTCTGCTTTCACATAAAAGCATTCATCATTTACATTCATCTTTAAGGACATCTTTCCATTCATGCTTTATTCTGCTAAAATCAATGGCTCTGGGCTCAGTGCCAACTATCGTTAGTGTAACAAAGTGCGACCCTTTAAGACGTAAACATATATTACGGACATTAAGACGTTGTAGCTAGATTAGGAAGAGATTTTATCAAAGCTTTCCCATTTAAAATGCTTAAGAAAAAAAAAAACCTTGATTGAAATTGAATGAGGTTCACTTTAGAAGGCTGTTGGATCAATGGTACATTTTAAACTGTTCCTAGAATGGAGACATTTCTTACAATTGCAAAAACGAAAATAAAGTGGTTAGTGATAGTTAACGATTGTAAAGACCTAAGTGTCTCTTTGGAAATTAAAGTTTTTACTTAGTTCCGAAACAAAGCAGCAGGCATGACTTTGAAAACGTAATTCATTTATGTGTTATGGTACCGATTATTTTTAAATCTCAATACTAAATGGATTTTTCTTGTCCGACAGTTTGACAGAAAAGCGAAAAAATAAGATAAGACTGCTAATTTTATAAACCTAATACTTATTATTAAATATACAGTTTATGTAATCAAAAAGATCTCTAGAACTTCGTGTGCTTGGAAAAACATTTTCTAAACGTTTTTCTCCTTACACCATTTTCTGTTTTAAAATAAATTGAGAACGATTTCTTACTTCAGCTATATCAAACTCAGGTGTGAATCAGTAAAAACTATTCTGGATAGAAACTGAAATTCACACATACTTCTTGATATCATACATACTTTTTGATATCATACATATTTCTTGATATCATACATATTTTTTGATATTATGCAAAATTATAGTTATGATTTCATGTTAATTCCCAGTTAAGCGCACTGTACGGAAAAATCCCGTAAAGTTTAAGGTTTTAAACAGGCACCTGTGTTGATTGTGCAAACCCGTAAATTTTACGTAATAATTCCGTAGTCTCAATGATTTTTTTACAATATAAGAACAACTTTTTCCGCAAAAGTTACGAAGAAGATCCGTAATAAGTACCGCAAAAAATACAAGTTCTTACAGCAATTCATTTATTTCATTTAGATAAAGAAAATATTGAACGATGTAAAAATATTGCAAATTAGTTAAATTGAAAAAAAAGTATCGCGATATATCTTGTAATGTCAATCTTTCTTGACGATGTATCGTGATGTGAAATTTTCTGTATAGCTCAGCCCTTAAGAAGTAATAAAGAAAAAGCACTGCTTCTCAGTAGCAATATCGCTGGAATCATGTTTTGCTTGTAATTCTGTCATTACAAATTAGAATACACTTATTTTTTAAATGAGAGAACTAAATAAAATTCAAGTAAAAAAGACTTACCTTTGGATATCTGAACCTTCGGAATTGAGGATATAAATTTGTGACATCATGATAATCTCCGTATTTTGGTAAATTTATAAAATCCACATCAGAATCATTGAAACAAGCGTAAGCAATTTTTGTGCCATCGTCTGACCACCAGATGGCGTTGTTTGATCTTAAGATTTCCTCTGAAATGAGAAAATAATTGAATTCATTCATAAAATTTAAAATATTATTTCGATATTTTATACATTAATTTGAAATTGTAAACTATTTTAAAGCTAGATAAAATACCATGATTAAGCACCATTTAAAGCTGTACCCATACCTAAATTTAACAAATATTGACTTAATCGAGTCAATATTAATTATTTTTGACTAATTTTTACTTAAAATGTATTTTAACTTCTATTTATTATGTTTTAACTACTGCTTGACTTTAGTTTTGAATAAGCTCACGGATGCTTGCTAGTTTAGTTTTTAATTGAAAAAGGGTAGTATCCATACAAACTAAAAATAGATCCTTAGTCTAAGTACACTCAATACACACGTGCACTTAATAGCAAAGTGTAAACAGAGAAAAGAGCATCTGAAAAAAACACCGAAAAAAATCTCTGGAAAAAAGCACCAAAAAGTATCTGAAAAAAATATCTGTTACAGAAAACACAAAAAAACTTTAACAATTGTATGAATTTATGCCCAATTTTATTCGCGCCGTTGAGAAAATTATAGCCAAATTTAAAGCAATGAAATATTAATTCTAATAAAATTACAGATCTCTTTCATAAAAAAGTTGATTGAAGTTCAAGGATTAATTTAAAGTTCAAGGAAGGAACTTTACGCACTTCATACTATTTAACAAAACTTTTGGGACTTTCAAGCAGTTCCATAGTTTTTCTGAATTCTAGTAATTATACTAATTGTGTTATGATAACGTTTTATCAACAGGCTATTTTTTTAAAAACAATGCATTAAAATGAAACATTGCATAATTTTTGACAATATTTTTAACGTATCACAAGACCGACGAAAGGCAGTAACAGAGTTGAAATTTGACGATTCAAAATATCCCGTTTTTATGAATTTATCTCGGTTGTTTTCCTGTTATTCCTATTTTAAATACTTTTTTTTGCAATTTTGCTCTCTTTTTTTTCTCTTATACACGTAGATAAATTCACATTACATTTTGTTTATCAGCTCAAAAATTAGAAGACTTTGAAATTCGAAATTTCTAAGAGGTGTTGAAAAACTTATGAACAAAAAATGTAACATTTGATAAATCGTTCGAAAATTTTTAACTGTACGATCTTGTAGTTAAAAATGCCATGCAAGGCACTCTGCAGCCCCTAGAAATGCAACAGGAATTTAACATGCTGTATAAGTCAAATTTGTTTATTAGCTTGACACGATTCCTTTTCGAAATTTTAATCTGTTTGAAAGTTATTTCAATTTTAAGATCATTTTTAAAATTGAAATAAAAATTTCGTAAATTTCCTCTCAGTTTTTTGGTTTAAATTAGGACTATTTATCCATCTTTAAAAGAAATTTTTTGTGAGATCTTTAAAACCTTGTTCGTTCTAGAATGGATATCGAAAGTAGAAAAGAGAGATTAATTGTCGCCAAGCTGCCATCATTTGCATTGAAATTTTAGAAAATATAAAAAAAGTGATTCAAGAGAAATAGTTATTCTCAATTTTAACTGCTATAATAATAAAATGCTATCTTTAACAAGTAAAATTAGGTCTCATTTAATTCTTCTTCCTGTGTTACCAATTTTGCATTCCTAATTTTATTTTCAAATATAAGTCATTAAATTTCTAAACGTAAGTAATTGTTCCTTTTATGATTAACATTTAAGCATTATATTCTTTCAAATAATCATGATAATTATTCATTTAATTGACAAACGTTTATTTGTTTTTGAGAAGTATCGACTTTTCAGGGGAAAAAGCAATAGCGAATAAAAAGCAATTACGTGGGTTGGCGGGTGAAGTGAGCAGGGGCCGGAACCTTTTAGTAGTAAAAAAAAATTAAACTCTTGTTTCTAGCAGAGAAATTATCTGATTTCAACGTTTCTTTAACCAAAATTATACATTTATTATTTTTTTAATCCGCAAGTTTTTTATTTCTTTTAATATGATAAGTTCATCCAAGCGTAACGCTTCATTTGGATTCAAATTTTCATTTCACTGAATACATCGCCAAAGAATAATAAAAATGCGAATCGAAATAACACTTCATTTCTCTCAAGAATCTTGGACTCAAATCAAATAGATTTTGAATCGGAACTCAAATTTTTATACCTTTGAAATAGAAGGAAGAAAAAAATAGCTCTGTAACAGCTACAGCGGGAAACCCATCGACGTGAACACAAATTGGATATGGAGTTTGCCCAGAGGGTATATTCAGTTGAATAAGATCAGTTCAAGCGAAATAAGGAAAAAAAGAATAAAAATTCTAAGTCTTTCTTGAGCTTCAATTACTAACAAGAAACATTTTAGAAATGCAATTTAAACAAAAAAAAAAAAAAAAAANAAAAAAAAAAAAAAAAAAAAAAAAAAAAAAAAAAAAAAAAAAAAAAAAAAAATACGAAACTTTGATGTCAGCAGCAATATTGTATAAATTCTTGTTTTTTGATAAGCAACTTTCTTAGACCAGAAAAATTTCTGAAAGAAAAGCTATAATGCAATCAATACACCGGATAATTATACGATGGCTAAACGGGAAAAAATATAAAATTCAGCAATTTGCAAATAAAAAAAATTAAATGTTTCGTGCTGGAGTATGTATCCTGTCTATTTATTGAAGCGGAAAGAAAATAAACAAATAAGTAAATTAAATTAAAATATAAATAAGAAATAAATAAATAAAAATATATTTATTTATCTAAATGGTATATGAAAGCTCTTTAAAAGTTGATTAATATTATTTTAAAAAATAACTATATACATTTTTTTTTAATCTCACTATAACGAAAGACAATCAAACTTTAACGGGTTTTTTTTTTATTCCACATTATGATAATTTCTTTTTGATATTGTATCTACTTTAAGATTCAAAAATGCTTTAATTTCATAAGCAAATTTGATTTTGAAGATTGTGTTTTAAAACTGGAAATTGGTAGAATTGTTATTCATTTTATGTTCATTGCGAAGAAAAATCCGTTTTTAATATATATAGAGAGATATTAAATTTTCAAATTCTTCTTACTTTTAATTCTAAAAAATTTGATGAAGTTATATTAATTTTAAAATTGCTTATTTAAAGATGATGTACAATAGTACATCAAGTACAAATCTAATATTGTTAATTGAAAGACAATAATAACACAACAAACACAGTAAAACAACAATGTATTTATTACTATATATTTTAAAGTAGGAAACTAATAAAAAAAATTAAACATCACATAAAGATGCTTTGTAAACTTTTAAAACGATGATTATTTTTAAAAAATTCATTCTTTTATTTAAAACAATATTTTTTTTAAATAATCTGTTGATTTATGTCATGAATTAAATCAAGTTGATTCAACGAAGTTCGTTAAAGTAAATTGGCATTAATATTTATCTTTTTTCGTATACATTTTCCAATTAAGACTGAGTTAGTGTTTAATATTTTTAGAGAGTGGTAGTCTAATATTGTTTAAGTTGGAACAAATTGTGTAGTAGAAATTAACAACATATCTAGGGGCAAAAAATGATACAGATTACTTCTGGAACACTTGACCAATATAGTGACCGAACCACATAAACTACAACACACACTTTTTACAAAACTGATATTTTTTAAACCTAAATTTCCCTTAGTATTGTTTCTAGATAAGTACATAGCAATTTTTAGGAAAGCATCGTAATATCTACGCATAACTCCTTGTGTCATCCCCTCCTAAAAATACGCATTTAAAAAACGATCTCCCAAACAATTTTAAAATGTGCCTCATTGTTATACAGCCTGAATCCTTTCATTATATTTATGAACAATTATCATGACTTTTGGAAGGGTTTTTTAAGATTTTTTCTGAAATCTTTTAATCACAAAATATGCGTATTCTTTCTTAATTTAGGAACATATTTTCAGAAATAAATGTAAACAAAAAGAATGATATATAAATTGTGCAATTCCTTGTATAATCATTAGTGCAAGGAAATAATTTTAAACGTTTAAAATTTTAATATCCCTTAAAACTTGATTTCTTTATAAAAACATTCATTTAAAATTTCGCGAGCTGATGTTGAAAGAAACAATTAATACGGAACCTTATTTTCTAAAAATGTCAAGAATAAAGAAAAATGATTTTTAAATCAGAGATATTTTAATTATTTCTTTCATAAGTATATTTTTTTTTTTGTATTCTATGTCAGTGAATATTTTAATATGACAAAAGTTATTATAAAACCCTAAGAAATTAATTATAATAGATGTAATTGAGGAAAATAAAGCACAGATATTTGAAAATTATGTGTCTACCGACCTTCATATATCCAATCAGGAATACCGTTGAGTATGACGTCATTCTCTCCATCTGACGTCAGACGTCTTGGTTTAGTGAGAGAACTGAACTGGGGCATGTAGAACATGTTACTGTCCTTAACAAAGACCTAAATATATTTAAAATTAGTTTTCAATATTAGTTAAAATAATAAGGAAAATTTTTTGACTACATGATTTATAGTTTTATTGCAGGATTGTCGAAAAAATATTGACGAAAATGTAACTTATAATTATAATTCACAATGTTTGAAATTTCTGTAAAACCTTGCATTACAATTTAAATTAACACTAAAATCAACATTGAAATTTAATAAAACAGAGAATCTTACTTCAGCGCTACAAACATCCTTAACACAAATCACTTACGGAGCACATAATTAATAATACCATTATAATACCATTAATGGTATTATAACCATTATGATACCATTAATTGTATTAACACCATAAACTATTCTAGCCCCATAAATTTTTCTTACACCATTATAATATTTGTAAATATCACTTCCCTTAATATGTTGAATTATAATTTTTAAATTAAAATGTCATCTATTACAAATGAAGTGAAAAATAATTATTTCTATACACTTATCTTAAATATTTAAGAATTTGAGATTGTATTAAATCTAAGGAACCAATGAAACATGTGTGTTTAAAATTTCTGAAAGTAGGTTCAAATAATAACAATAACAAAAAAATGAAGAAAAAAATATATAAAATTATCTCCAACAATATTGATGAAAAATATTTATATTGATGAAGATAAACGAAACAAATATTTTAGAATCATTCTATTTTAACAAATAATGGTTATAATTTCCATCAAAAATCACGTGGATTTAGATAAGACCTATAACAAATAATTTCCAATTTAGTATTATATCAAAAATAAGTAATGACTCGAATTTATAGGATTGGTAAATCTGGGTTGATTTAAAACGCCTCTAAAATGTTCTAATCATAATGCAATCACGATTCTTGCCAAAATGAGCCAAATATTTCGACTGGAACAAAGTGGCATGGATTGAAATATCAATACATGAAGCTTAATTGATGGAGATATTTTTAGTTCCACAGCGCCTAACTGCATCATTTGGCGTACAAAATGACTCCATTTATAGAAGATAAAGGCAGAAATATTTATTTATAAAACTGTAATTGACATCATTAGTTAATGAGAAAAGTCGTTCCAATCAAGGTACATTCGATTCTGAGCTAGTTCATTTGCATAATCACTAAATGCTGACGGAGAGATATGCAAATAAGTCTTTATTCTCGACGATATTGTAATTAGATTTATGCTCTAGGAGTCTGAAGTTAATTAGACTATCAAGTTGCAATTTAAAAGAGTATTTTTTCATGCATGTTTCGATCGTTTAAGTTATTCTTGCGATTTTTTGTTTTGTTTTGTCAACGCTCTTGTTTGATTTGATAAGAAATCACGAAAACTGTTTAACTGATTCTAAATCATTTAAATTTTAAAGATATGCTAATGGAACAATTCAATTGAATTGTTACCATGCTTTGGAAACTTTCAATTATATTTGTAATTTATTATACAGGAAAAGTTTGTTACTATTTATAAACCCAAACTTATTAGGCTTTTTCCGTACGATTTTTTAATCGTGAAAATTTAAAGCGTCTGTACAGCGGGTCTGCCTACTGGTTATGTGCGCGCACTGTGCATGTTGCATTGATATTTGAATGATACACCTACACATGGATGCTGCATTCTCACTGAGGTGTTACATTCAAATTCGCACGTTGTATTCTAATTAGGGCGTGGCATTCAAATTTGAGTGTTGCCTTCACTTTCGGTGTTGCATTCATAGATGAGGGGGGGAAAATCGAATTATGCCAGAGACGCATCTTTTTAAAGTGAAAATCATATCTTAGAAGAATTCGGTTACAATAGCAAACTTTCTTTTAATCTCTGCTTTGCTACATACTAAATAGTTATTAAAAGTTATTGTTGTTTTAAGTCACTTTTCAATACTAATAAGCCTATTTTAAGGCAGAGAGCTGCGCTACGTCTTGTTTTCCAGTGGCACCATCTATGATCAAGAATTTGATTTCTGCCTTACACATACTCATCAGCCCATTTTATTGGGATGACACATTCACCTATCATTCATTCTATCCATCCAACATCAGATTATAAATTTGACCTGAACCAGAGCACGATCAATCTCCGATGCAGTACCACCAGAGGTATCGTTTTGTTGTCGTATCAAAATTGGAAAAGTAACATCAAAACAATCGTAACAAATAAATTGTAATTTTATATTGAGACAGCAAGTATGGTAAACATTATTGACGCAAAATAAAGATTTAAAATGAAAATTAGAAGCGACTCCTCGTTGATCTGGAAGTCTCGGCTTTTCGAAACAGTTTGAAGCTTATATAACATCGCTGGTGAATAGGTAAACTTGAGTTTTAAGAGGGATGGCTTTTTATTAGTCTGGTGCAGAGACCAAAGCATCCATGTCTTAAAAGTTTCATGCTGTTAAAAGTAAATGAGGCTCATATTACCACTAATGCAAGCTAACAAAAGAATAAAAATAAAATTATCAATTTTTATTTTTTATTTATTTTAGGTAATTAGAATATACCAATATGTCATTCCCTCACTTGTCCCCACTGCTGATTTAAAAAAAGAAAAAAATTGTTTCTGAAATAAAATTTTTTTTTTTACAAATTCGTGTTTTTTATTTCAGAATACTGAAATATAGAATTCAGAAAATCAATTTTAAATTTAATTTCTGATAAAAATATTAACACAGCACTATTTTAAACTTTGTCCCCAGTGTTTCGCGTCATTCCCTCACAACAATGTTCTTATCACCTGCAATCTTCTTAGAATAAAAATATTTTAATAAAAACTTCAGAAGTTAACAACTGGCATCATAGAACAAAATTGCAGTATGTTTCCATCTTCAACTTAAAGAAGCTTTGCTGTGGAATAAATTTGAATGAATCAAACCAGGTAAAATTTTTTACATTTGTCATTCCCTCATGTCATTTTTTAGAGTAAAATAAAATACAACTTCATCGAGAAAGTGGATAATTATATGTTGCTTTCTTGTATGAATATAATTGTATGTGATTGACTTCAGAAATTAATTAGGCCTAACTGTTATTTTTAAATTTTATTGAATTCGTCATTCCCTCACTAGTGTATAAAGTGAGGGAATGACGCTGAAGTGAGGGAATGATTCAAGATGAGTATATTATCAAATTTTTTTTTGTTCAATCGTGCCAGCCAATTTTATTTCCCAAACCTGTAAAAACTATTAAATATATAAGACTAAATTATAATAAATATTAGATATACTTAGTATGTTATCATTTTCAAACTTTAGGTAGATGTAACTTAGATAAAAACATGTATTAAAATAAAATATCATTCCCTCACTATTAGTGTCATTCCCTCACTTTTTAAATAGTGAAAATAATTAATTTACTTATTAATTAATTTGAAAAATAAATTAAAAAATTAATAAATTAATTTATTAAATTAATTAATTTATTTATTAAATTAATTAATTAATTATTAATTATTATAAATTAATTAATTATAAATTAATTATTTAAAAAATTAATTAATTTAAATATTAAGTATAATTTATAGGATATATACTTTCTTTATAATGCCATTACATATTTCTATTAATATAAAAAGTTTCAGAGCTTTTTATTCACTTTACTTTTTCGGGATTTTATGAACTGAAAAATGACAGTTTTCGTGAGAATGACCCATATAGTCAATATAATTTTGCATAGTATTTTAATGAAAACTGAAAGGTTCTTATCTTGGTCACTCTGCAGTGGTCTGAAACGCTTGGTGTGTAGCATAGAGTTCATGGACAAATGGTTGAGAACCTCAGATTTAATGTCTTTCTTGAGAAATTTTTCTCAAAAATAAGATTTTAAAGCAAAATTCCTCGAATTTTGAATCAGTTGCGTTCGAAAGTAACTATAGTTGACATACAATTGGTGATAAATTCATTTTATCTTTACTTTTGTTTCATTTATCCATTTTTTATATATCATGGTCATCTAACAATATTAGTAGAAATTGTTTATGAAAAAATTTCGAAATCTTCTAAAAAAATTTATTCTAAAAAAATTTCTAAAAAAATTTACACGTATGAAGAAAATAAACTTTAATATATAAAAATATTATTAAAAACAGCAAGCATTGCATTATTTATAGAATATTGTATTATTATAGAATATTGTAATATATTGTATTATTTATAGTATTATACATTGTATTATTATAGAATATTGTAATATATTGCATTATTCATAGTATTATACATTGTTTTATTATAGAATATTGTAATATATTGCATTATTCATAGTATTATACATTGTATTATTTATAGTGTTATACATTGTATTATAATAGAAGTTTAAAATAAATATCTCTCTTACCAGCTGACTTCCTCCACGGCCCCATTGTGCGAATTGAAGCATGGCGTTAGAGTCATCATGGAGAAGAGGCACAACATGCCTAAAAAATAATTAATTTTGTAAATTAGCTCCTACATGAAGGTAACAAAAAGGGTACTAATTATTTTAAAAATATTTAATGTACTGAATGTTTTTTATTGTAGTTTAATTAATTAAATATTTAAAATTACGTTTTTTTTTCTCAGGTTGCTGAAATTATAAATTTGAAGCGGCATCTGAGTTGTTTGGTGTAAGCATAATCTTAAAATGAATAAAATTAGCTAAATTATGGTCTTACAAAAAAACGGTTTATTAATGTTGAAATAATTATTTGGAAAACTTATTAAAAATTGATCTAGTTCACTTTTTATTGAAAACTCTAAGAATTGCTGATAAATTTTTTTATAAATGGACATTTTTGGAATAATTTTTTAATTTTTGCTATTTATTTTTTCATTGGCATTTAACTCATTAAAACAACTGAATTCATAAAAAATTATGAAAATAACATAATGGAATAAAAATAACTGAAATACTAACTATATAATTGTTTCTTAGTTGAGTATAAATACAATTAAATGTTTAAAAAATCATTTCTGTTTAAAAAAAAATATGTCCTTAAGGTCCGAAACCATATGATTCTTTCACGGAACCATGAGGTTCCACGAAACACAGCTTGGGAACTGCTTGTTTAAAGGGTTATTGAAAAACATTTTTGAAAATACTTCATTATCCAGGTTTAATAACTTGTGAAGATTGGTATTATAAATTGTTATTGATATCATATTGAACTAAATGAGCAGTTTTAGGAACAAAAGCTGGTATCGGCTAAGCTGTACTAAACTTGAGGTTTAAGAAATTATATACTACGTATTTTTAAGGTATCTAAATTAAACGTATAAGAAATTAAGTATTAATCGAAAACGAAAGTGAGAGGGAAAAAAAACGAAAAAGGGAATAACAAATAAATAAATTCAATGTAAATCAAGAACACAAGGAACCGCGATATTTTGTAAAAAAATTTCATGGTGTAAATGCCATAACTAATACTTTTTATGCCCTTTCTGAATTTTTCTTCTTCATTAATCGTTAAGGGAAAAATAAATCAACTAAGTAAACTTTAAGAAAGAAATCTCTTCAGTTCTTTAACTATTTTTACTTGAATAGTTATTTTTTGCACACATATAATATATTTTCGCGCATCATGTAGGATAGTCTAACTTCAAACCAAGTTTATTAAATCGAATGTCGAGTATTGAAGCTTTCAGTTTGCAGAAAAATTTAAAAATCATCCGCAAAAATATGAAATTTTTCAAGTGGGCAGAAAAGCTGATATTTTAACATTTACTAAAACTTCACGTAATTTTTTTAACTTAGTTTTTTACTAAATAAAAATATCTTTCTCTAATAGTTAGAACATTTTAAATAATTGTATCGATGAAAATATATTTTATTTATATAATTAATGGTTAAGAAAAGCACGGTTGTAAACGAAAAAAAAAAAAGAAAACAAATATAATATAAAATTTTAAAAAGATCTTGCGAAAATATTAGAAGTTTTTTTTTCTCTTAAACACTTTAATGTGTTAATAAAAAAGAAGAAAATATGAAAGAGTGACTTTCCGTTTACTCAATCAATCAGTGTCAATAATACTCTTTTTAAATCTCTATTTTTCGGAAATTTTGAACTGAAGCAAATCTTAAAAACTTAGAACTAAGAAACAAAAATTTCGAATACGCTTGTAAGTATATTACAAACAAAAATATTGATTTTGCTACATTTTCAAGCATATTAAATAAATTTTTTAAGGAATGGTCTTTTTTTTATATGGGAAATAGGAAAAAGATTTTAACTAAACGCACAAAATCCATGAATTTAAAATATTAACTTCAACAAACTCTTAGGTTGAGTGGCAAATAAATTTATTCTTTGATAAATTTAAAAAAAAAACATGCAGAGTACTCAAAAGAAAAAAAAAACTGACCACTCTGAATAATTTTTGATCTAATGATCGGATTTTTCACCTTTTTTATGACTCAATCTTAATGGCTAGAGGGGATGACTTCAAATAGGCTAACAAATTAGAGAAGATAATTTTTTTAGTTGAGAAATCAGACAAATAAATGCTCTTCCTCTGAATAAACATATGATTTTTTCGACGGATTCAGATATCTGGCCTCCCAACTATAGAGAGTAGCCACAATCTGGGAAACATGGTCCCACTAGTTTGGTCAGGAGGACGCTCCAATGTTTGGACCACTTAATATTAATTTTATTTTCCAAACTTTGTATATATTTATTATTTTTAGTATATATTTATTATTTTATTTCGGAATAGTAAAAAAAAATTGACTTGTAAAGTATTTCTCAGAAACTATTCGACCAATTTTGCTCAAATTTTGTATTATGCTATTTAAAATATACATTATTTAAAATGATGCAAAATTGGTATACCTTAAAATTGTTTTGACAATTGTTTGTATTGTTTTTTCCTATAAGCTATTTTTTTGTATGGAATTATCTTTTGATAAACGAATTGCATAATTCTGTGTAAAAAATTTTCAACTCGGTTAAAAAATTTTCGAGATATACTGAAATACGCAAAAAGTAAAATGAACATTAAGGGATCCAAACTTTGGAGCCTTCTCCTGACTAAATTATTGAACCATATTGCGGCTATCCCCTATATTTTGGGGGTTAGAAATACGAATCCGTCGAAAAAAGATATTTTTATTCAGAGAAAGTACGTTTTTGTGTCTGATTTAGCAGTTTAAAATATCGTCTGCCCTTATTTTCTAGCATATTTAAAGTCTCCCCACTCAACCAATTAAAATTAATTTCTAGAACTTGAAGATACGATCATTAGATCCAATATTATTCAAGGGTGATTCGTTTTTTTTTTTTTTTTTTTTTTTGCACTGCACATTTTTTTTACTTTAAAAAATAGCCCAAAATTTGTTTTATTGATTCTAAAAGAGCACATTTTAGACTTCATTTTCTTTGAAATTGTTTCCAAAAAAACAGAAGAGAATAAAAAGCTTTCAATAGCTTAAAAATTTACTATAGTGGCAAACGTAAACATATTTTGAGGGTTCACCTTATAGGTGCCCATTTCGAGATCCACCAGGTGCAAACGCAGAAAACAAAATAATGAAAAATACAGCACTAGTCGTGAAAGGGGGAATCAGAAAGGAATGCAGCTTACTCCGACTTGCCCTTTTCGGCTACCATAGCTTCTTTCGAGTAACGTGGTTTCACTTGTTTTGTTTGCCATTTTTAATTTATTTTCCCTTTTTCCTGACAACTTTGAGTTTCTTTTTTCGAATCTATTTTTATTTCTTCATTTACGCCTGGTTGTCATGACTGCTTGATACTTATTGACCGTTTCTACCTGAATAATTTTGAAACTTAGCGAAATTTTTTGATTCAAGCAATGCTGTTTAATAACTAAAACAAACACATTTTCTTTTCTTTTGATGGTTGTTATATGCGCATCACGATAATATACGAACACAAAATCGGATGATGCTTTCTAAACTATATATTTATAACATAAATTTTTTTTCACAACATTTGTTCAATTATCTTGCCCTACTTTAATGAATAAATAATATAAAAAGGATTAAGTAAACTACTGAGAATTACATAAACAGTTTAATCAATGTAAATAAAATGATTCTTTTTAGTATAAAATGATTCAATTACGGAAGAAAAAGAGTGAGACTGACTTGGTGCGGTTTATTTACCTTCAAACTTTTAGAAAATTAATTTTACTTTGTTATGACATTATACAATGTTCTATTATATAATATATTATATAATATATTATATAATGTTCTATTACATAATGTTCTATTATATAATGCATTATGTAATGTTCTATTATATAATATATTATATAATGTTCTACTATATAATATATTATATAATGTTCTATTATATAATATATTATATATTGCTATAATTAAATTTAAAAACGAATGAAACTGAAATCTGATTTTGATTCAAAAGCTTTCTTTTTAATCTGAATTCTATCAAAATTTTGCTGATATTTAATTGACTTTTCATGCATTGAGTTTCAGTTCCGATGTTCATTAAAATTTAAGACCCGAAATTTATGAATGCTTTGCATAGCTACATTTACTTCCATACGTTCTCCAATAATGGCTGTGGGAAATCCCTCAGTAAGTCTCTGAAATAATTAATTTTTGAAATAGTTTTACTATTTAGTTTGAAATGGAATTTCCATTACCTTTTTCAATGTGAGCATTTTATTCATTATTGAAAATACTCTAAGTCTCAGTCACTAATGAGATCAATTAAGTTATCCTAGTTTTAATATGTAAGATTTTTTAAAAAGTGATAGCTAATTGAAATTGGTTGTTAAAAAAATCTTAAACATCTTGATACCAAATTCAATAGTTCTATTTAAAAATTTCATGTTGATTTTGAAAGGAAATCTAAAATCGCAGTTAATATTTGGTACGTGTTTCAAAAAACTATTACAACTGTTGCACTTTTTTGTAACATGTACACGTGCACATTCTAATTAGCAATGGCTAATAATACCAAAAAATATTTGAAAAAAGCTTTTTTTTATAGCTTTTTTTTAAACCTAAATTTAAAACAAAATATAATTTTTTTCGCTAAAAATTAACACAAATTTATAGATTAAAATTTATTTTATTTTACATTTGCCCTTTAAAATAATTGTGATGATTGAAAAAACTATGGTATCAAGAGTTAATATGATGCGTTATTTCCCCATTCACACTGTGAAAAGTTCCGAATAAAAGTACCGGTACTCAGGGTGTCGGTACTTTTCAGTGTAAAATCCGTTTTTAATGGAACATGTTACATAACTAAAAGTCTGATATGCTGTAACTTTTACTGTAATAATGCAGAGTCTCTGAATAACTGTAAATGAATGAGTATTGCTGTAAAATTTACGGTAAATGTGGGTTTTATGGATGATGTCCAAAACAGTAATTTGATCTGGTATATATTACATTGCCCTTCTTCAATCAATTCTTCGAATCATTTCATTTGCTTCGAAATTTTTTTTGATCTCTCGATAACAATATTTTTTCGTCCTTTTCTGCTTAAATTTTCAAATACATTTTATAAATGAAATGAACACTAAGTTGCTAAATAAATGAACCCTTTGAATTCCCTGTTTCCCATCGAGACGTTGATTTTTCTTAGACAGAAATATTAAATTAAAAGTGATGTATGTCCACGAGATAGATACTTTTATTCCTTTTAAGGAAAATAGGATAAGAAAGTTTTTGTCAAATTGATTTTTATAGAATAATTTTATTGACATTTTTTCTCTACGTAGTTTTATTCTTTTTGCTACACTCTGAAAAAATGTTTGTTTTGATGTTTTAAGGTAACATTCTCCTAAATAAAAAAAATGCCAGATAATAAAAGATCCAAAACTGTAAAAAAATGCTTATTATTTAATAAGTGAGTTTGAGAGAGGTTAGTGCAAAATTACTGTTTTCTGTTAATTTAATTATTTTAGCTGGGCACAATATTATGAGTATAGAATAAAATGTAATATATGTTTTTTTTAATTCTTTAAAATATAAAAACATATAAATATTCTTATAGAGAAAAAACAAAAATCTAATTGAACATTTTCGAATCACTAATGTGGAAGGTGGTATAAAATATCAAAGCCAGTTTGATTGGCAGGTGAAATATGGAGATATTTCAACAATCGCCTTTCTGCTCTTAACTGCCAATATACTATACCAATATTCAAGCCAATAGAAGCGAAAACTATGCCATTATTCAAGCCAATCGAAGCGAAAACTATGCAATTATTCAAGCCAATAGAAGCGAAAACTATGCCATTATTCAAGCCAATCGAAGCGAAAACTATGCCAATATTCAAGCCAATCGAATCGAAAACAATGCCAATATTCAAGCCAATCGAAGCGAAAACTATGCCAATATTCAAGCCAATCAAAGCGAAAGCTATGCCAATATTCAAGCCAATAACTGAAATTTTTTTTATCAATAACTACCAAAATTCAAGTAATAATCAAGCCTATTCTGAGATTTTTAATGTCACCTTTAAGTGATTCGTTAGATCGCAATTCGTTTTAATAGTCAGTCGTTAGTTCTTAATAGCATTTTCTTTTTGGCTAATTTAGGACCCATGGCTATACAATTTAAATGAATTTTTGACGAGGATTATAAAATATATACTTAACAGTGATCATTTTCGAACACCTTATAACATTAAAACAATAAAAGTAATAAAAATAATCGAATATACTCTAATATAAGAGTTTTAGGGAATTTTATATAAATACATAAAAAAATATTAGAGTCGCACATCTTGACCGTTAGCGGAAAATGTGAGAAATGTGAATGTACTGTTAGTGAAAAGTGTTAGGGAAAAAATTCGATAAAGTCGATAAAGTATACACATTTGGAGCAAGCAAATAAATATTTAAACAGGTAAAAAAGAGGAAAAACTTTCGAAACTTGGTGAATCATAATAGAGGGAGGCGTTATTAAAAGGACAAAAACTTGTTTGATTGCGTGATGAAACTTGAAAATGTTTCTAATATTCTCTCTTAAACTCCTCTCTGCTTCCTCTGGCATACTTTATGCTTTTTATTCAGCCCAAAACTTTCTCTGTTGCTTAAATACTAATAAGCGATCCCCACAGATTCCAACAGGGATCCTAAAATATATATAATAAAGGCGGGATCATGAGACGACTAAAGCTAATTAAATGTTTTTATTTTTTATTAATTTTTTTATGTTGATTCGAAATTCTATGTTTATAAAGTTTAAATAAGAAACAGAAATATAAAATGAAAATCTAACAAAATACGTATTTCACAGTTCTCGCTGTGGTATCATTGTACAACTTTTTCCCACTCTCGAGCCAATATTGGTGATACAAAATAAATAAATAAATATCATTTTGAAAAAAATAATTTTGTCTTTCAATTGACATCCTTACAAGTATTTTATTACATCTATTATATTTATATTTGAAATTAAAACACTTCATTTACTACATAAATTAAAAAGATAAAGAAAGTGCATAAGTTTCGAGTGCTTAAAAATAGCTGCTTATTCTTAAGGCAGTATTTACGATTTAAGTATATTTTTCCGCTTCAGTTTCTTAAAATTATTCATTCAGTGTTAAAGATTTGCTTTAGTTGTATTTTTAATATTTTTATACTAAGATAATTTCTATTTTTAGTACTTTTGCAATTGTGTATTTTATTTTTCAAGAAACCTATTGATTTTTATTGCAATCGCGTTGATCTATCTCAGTCGATATCAAAACGAAAAGGAATTCCATTCTTTCCGATAACTAGTAACGAAGCGTTTTTCTTTCCAACAATTGATTTCTGTTTAGGAGCCTACTGAAAGAGAAATTTATTGCTCCTAGATAAGATTTCTTTTCCTTTAATCGACAAAGGATAGCCTTTGGATAAAAAGATTTTGGAGGTCAATCCATGACGACACTTCAGATAAATAAATTTTAAAAGATATTAAACTCTCAAGGCAAAAGTATATATTTTGTTTTAAAACTAAGTAAAAATTGTGTTTGGAATCTAGCTATTTTTTCAGTAAAAATTTGAGGATTTCGCTAAACAGGAATGCAGTAAAAATCCTTTGAAAAATGAAATATAAAGAAATGTTTCCTAAATGTACTTTAGGAAATAGGTACTCTGTAATACTACGTTCATGTATTGATTTAAAACTTCATTCTCTTCAAAAATATACACATTGGAAAAAACAGTTGCTCAAGAAATGTTTGTATATACGTTTTATTGTTAAAAATAGAAATCTCTCTAAAAAACTTATTTTCACATTTCGCGGTAAAAGCAAATCATAGTAAGAAAAAGTAACAAAACAAGTATTTGCCGAAAGCATAGAACTTAATAAAATAAAGTACAAAAATGTTTATAATACTCCATACTTTTGAAAAACCTTACCCAGCAAAACATTAAAAAAAAGATCAACTTTCAAAAAATATCTAGTTTTTGGATATCTAAAGTGAGACGTAAGTTTTCTTTAGCAGTTTTAAAATAATTAATCAAGTGAATTAAAATATTGTTTCCTGAAAGTTTTTACTAATATTTGCTTTATTTTTAAGAAAATATTACTATTTTTTTAAAAAAATGTTTAAGATTTTAACGTAAAGTCTTTATAAATAAGATACTATGAGCTAAAGTAATGTAACAAATAAATATTAGAATTTTATTTTCCGTTCCTAATTTATAAGAATCTATGAATATTATGATGGTATAACTGATGTTAGTTTGAAACACCTTTTTATGACTGTTAGGTTCAGTTTTTTTTCGTTATTGCTGTCGTCGGCCATTAATGCAGAGAGGGTGCGATTGTTCTTATTTACCAGTGGCGCCATCTATGGACAAGAATTCGACTTCTGCCGCACTCAGACGTGACACATGTTTATAGGGTGGACCCATTCATTCATCCACAGATCGTAATTTTGGCCCGAATCAAGGAACGATCAATCTCCTGTTCAGTACCCCAAGAGGTATGATTTACTAAGGGAACATGGAGGACTTTGTGACTGGACAGATTTATACGGCATCAGTCACGAGTCTTCAGTCAGCTGGATACGAGTTTTATTCCGTCTTTAACCTTAATTATTTAAATTATTTACTAAAAAAAAGCAAATACTGAAGGAAAATAGCAGTTTTATGTGAAAGAGAAGCGTTTATGATTTAATTTTTTATTAACATTTGTAAATTTATGTTATGCTAAACTACGAAAAATTTTAAATCATTAATTGATTTCAATGAGATCTATATTGGTAGATAAAGCACCGAATTGGAACCGAAGAAGAATTTAATGAATTCTATGAACTAATTTCGTTTCACTATTTGTTCGTTTTAATGTCTGGATCAGGGATGGCAAACCTTTATACACCAACGTGCCATTTTTTCTAAAAAATTGCTTAATGAGGTCATAGACGTGCCGTCAAATAATTTTGACTTCGTGATGCGTGATTATACGTGATACGTATCACTATTATACGCGTAATTAAACTTAAAGTAACATCAGTGTGGCTTCTGTTGTTGCAGATTAGATGACAAATAACTTATGTTAGGTAGTAAGATGTTAGTTTAAGGGGCCGTTCAAAAAGTACGTACATCCCGAAGGGGGGGGAGGGGATTTGCTATTATGTACGGTTTTGTACGATGGGGAGGGGGGGAAGTATTATACAAAGTACGTACTTTATAAACATACACCAAATTTAAATTTGACTTTATCCTACACCCTCCTTAAGTAAATATTTAATTTTATTTAAAACATAATTATTTTAATTTTTATGAAAAAGGGGGGTAGACTAATAAAATGTACGTACTCTAAGGGGGGGGGGAGTAAGACCTTATGTACGGTAATGTACGAAGGGGGGGGAGGGGTTTAAAATTTCTCCATTTTTGTGTACGTACTTTTTGAACGGCCCCTAAGCAGGACTGTTAATTTTTTTTGCAAGTTGTTTATTGTGGCTTGTTTTTTATGGTTAACTGTTTTTTTAGAATTAATTGTTATTTTTTTTATTAATAATTGTTTATTATTTTGTTTGTTTTTTGGGAATTTTAATTTAATTGTTATATATGCTTCATAGTGTAATAACATTTGTGTGATAACAATTCGTAGTGTAATAGCAATTGTGATCAGTGGCGTGCCCAAAATATTGTGTAGCGTGCCATAAATGGCACGCGTGTCATTGATTCGCCAACCTTGGTCTAGATGATTCTTTTCAGCTCCGTAATAGTTAAAAATTAAAGGTTTGCTTCGTGTTTAAGAGCACAAACTTTTGATTTTTTATTTTCCTTGACAAAAAAAACTTCAAAGAAAACACCTTAAAGCAAAGTAATTATGTTTAAATATTGCTTGAAAATAAATGTAAACCACTTACTCGTTGCTTATGTTAAAAATTCTGTACTTAGCTAAAAATGAATATCTGTACATCTGTAAAGAAAAAAAATTTTAGTCACAAAAATAATTTGTTTTCATCTTTTTCTTGCAGTTTTTAGAGAGAAAATAGCTTACTTTTTTATAATCTATCGCCAGAAGAATATATTTTCTGTCTGGAGATAAAGAATACTCATGAACATTCATTTGTCTCTGTAAAAGATATTAGATATATATAGAAATGATGAAAGCAATTAATAATTATTACAGTGATGTACACAATTTTCACTCTAAATCTAAGAAGTATATAAAAAAAACGATTTTCAAAGCGTGACAAAATAGTAGCCTTCTCCAACAAAATGCCTATATCGCCTCTCTGAGGTGATAGACTTACTTCATTAGAACTCAATGGCAAATAAACAAAAGTAAAAAAAAAGTATGAGCGAGACATAAAATTATAAATTGTAATCTGACTATTTTATACACAGATTTAATTTATCATTTCCTTTCACAGCAGGGTGATAAGATTTGATGACAAAATAAACAGAAGTAAAAAAAGTAAGAAGGACACTCAAAACTATAAATTATGAGCTGACTATTTTATACACAGATTTAATTTATCATTTCCTTTCACAACATGGTAATAAGATTTGAAGAAAAAATAAACAGAAGTAAAAAAAGTATGAAAGACACTAATAATTATAAATTATGAGCTGACTATTTTATACACAGATTTAATTTATCATTTCCTTTCACAGCATGGTAATAAGATTTGAAGAAAAAATAAACAGAAGTAAAAAAAGTATAAAAGACACTCAAAATTATAAATTGTGAGCTGACTATTTTATACACAGATTTAATTTATCATTTCTTTTCACAGCAGGGTGATAAGATTTGATGATAAAATAAACAGAAGTAAAAAAAAAGTGTGAATGACTTTCAAATTAAAAATTGTGAGGTGACTATTTCATTCACAGATTTAATTTATCATTTCTTTTCACAGCAGGGTGATAAGATTTGATGATAAAATAAACAGAAGTAAAAAAAAGTTTGAATGATTTTCAAATTATAAATTGTGAGGTGACTATTTCATTCACAGATTTAATTTATCATTTCCTTTCACAGCAGGGTGATAAGATTTGATGATAAAATAAACTTAAGTAAAAAAAAAGTGTGAATGACTTTCAAAATTATAAATTGTGAGCTGATTATTTTATACACAGATTTAATTTATCATTTCCTTTCACAGCAGGGTGATAAGATTTGATGATAAAATAAACTTAAGTAAAAAAAGCATAAATGACATTTACAATTATAAATTGTAAGTTCACTACTTTATACACAGATTTTAATTTATCATTTTCTTTCCATGTTGCTGGAGGACTCAACAGCAGGGTGATAAGATTTTATGATAAAGCAAACAGAAGTAATAAAAAGGTATGAAAGAGACTCACAATTATAGATTGTGAAGATTCACAATTACATTGTGAAATGACTACTTTATGCGCGGATTTGGTTTTTTATTTCTTGTTTTGTTCATCTGTGTTGCCAGAGAACTCAACAGTAAGATGATACAGTTTTATGACGGCACACAGTTGATCTTAATAAAGTATTTTTTGCCCATGATAAATACAATATCATTTCAATATCAATACAATATCTTAATATTTCTAAAGATTAATTATTGTTTTCATTACATTATTTTTGATTACAGAAAAACATTGGTGTCGATTCAGGCTATTTATCATGAAAAAAAAAATTAAAGATGTTTTTTACAGCTAAGTATGGTGCTTGCAGGTGGTGGAACAAAAATATCATTTTATAAAGATTTATCAGCTGTAAAATTTTATGTTTCTTAATATTTTAATATGTGTATTAAAGTGGTATAAAAAATCATTTTCAGTTTTTAATTTATAGATATTTTTATTTTATCTTTTTAACTAATGATATCATATTATTAAATAATTTTTAGAACTTCTATTTTTAATTGTGATGAGATCGGGATAGTAGATTACAGACTTCTAAAAAATAGTTTTAACCCCTGTATGATAAATACACAATACTTGCATTTGTTATAAAAATATTTAACAAGTTTAGTAAAAAAGGGAATGTTTTTTTTAATGCTGCAACCTATTGGAAACAATATTTTTAAATGAAAATTAATATTTACATTGAATTAATAATATTCGATTGTCTTAATCTTAAAATAAACTAAGAGCCACATAAGTGTTTTAACACTTATTTTATCTATTTTAACAAGGATAATACTTTAGAATATCACTAGTAGGTATTCCAGAAATATAATAGTTGCCGTACTGAAAAGTTTTAAATAATAATTGTGATTGAAACTTATCAATGGTGGAATACATCCAACTCCATATGATCATTTCTTATATTTTAGAAATTTAATTGACAAAACAACTATATTTTTGAAAAACTACTTACGCTTATTTCACAATTTTTTTTAATTTCATGGCATACCAAAAAGAATTGAAGTAAGCGAGCTGTAAGCATTACTTTAATTTATTACTAAAACAAGAGTCTTTTTTCATTATATTATTTTTTCTCAATCAGTTTTATAAAATGCATTTTGTAAAGAAATGCTGTCGGTATTGAATATTAGCAAATGGAACCGAGCATTTTTCATGTTTTTTTTGTCGTTTAAGAAGACAGAATAAAAATAAAATAAAAACAATGCATCTCATTCCTTAATTAACTAAAGAAACAATGCTTTGTAAAACAAAGCTATCGATTCTATTTATTAAAAGAAGTAAAACTTTCAATTCTTTTGTGAAATATTACTTACAAATGTTGTATTAGGCATTATTACAGTTTTTTTCATAGTTTCAACATCATATATCGTTGCGGCACCATCAGCATCTCTGAATAAAAACTCATAATCTGCAAGAAAAAGAAAACTATATCTCAATAAAGGAAAATATGAATAACTTCTCTTCAAGCTTTGATAAAACATAAGAAAAGCAAGAAATGCAAAAATTCTATCTTTGCTTTCACTTTGAAGTTGTATTAAATTTTTCTCTTATCTAAAAAAACTTAATATCGCATCTTATATTTTTCAGAGTGCTCTGAATTTAAATTTTTTTTAGATTTTCGTTGCTACGAATTCCTTTTATCAGAAGAAATTTGAAGTGATATATTGAAAGGCACTGCGAGTTAATGTATTGATGAAAATTGAAGATTATTGAAAAGAATCTTAGAAGATGAAAGTAATTAAAAAACAAAATCTTCAAAGATACATTTTTGCATTAAAAGTAGCATAAAATTTAAACGTAAAAATTGTTGCTAGCTCTACCTTAATAATGCGGTAACTTTAAAAGGGTAGTATTTAAATAATAAAAAGCGTAGAAAAGATATTGCATCTTTTCATTTACTGAAAATAAAAAAATACTTTCTAACGAAAATAAAAAAATAACGCAAGCATAAAAGTATTAGAAAATATAAATATGTCGGTATCGTTGCAAACTGAACCCTCCTTTTTTTGCTAAATTGCTTTCGTTTTTGTTAAATTAACAAAAAGATATGGTTTTATAATTTATGATAAAATTTTTTAAATATGGTAATTTTTGGGTAAAATTTATCTTTCAGCTCTGAATTATATGTTAAAAGTGGAGTAATAATTGTTATAGTTTCGAAAATAAGAATTTCCGGTAAACCATTGCCATATGATCAGAAAATAACCAAATGAATAGTTTAAACACCATATACTATTCTTATTTATTAACCGACATTATATTTATTTTTACTAGAAATGTAACTGCCATACAGTGCGGTAATTTCTCCTTGTAGGACTCGAAATTTCGACTAATTATAGTGCTTAAATTTTAATTGCAGCTGCATCTCCAATCGTAATGCATGCTTCAATATAGTAGACTTCAGACTTCTAGGAGTAGAACGTCTTGCCATTTGTTTGCCAAAAAGAATTTAGGGTCTATTGAAATTCTGACTATCTTTTAAATAGCAAGAGAACTTGAATTTCGGTGGCATTTCAGTATCTGATGACAATATAGGAGTCGTCTTCTGATCGCGACGAAGAGAATTTGAATTAATTTTATCCCAAATCGAAAAGTTCGTCAATAAAAATTTCATCTACTTTCTAAATGGGAAGGTTTCTTTGTCAACTGCCTTTCTGTACCCCATAACAATACAAAGTTTAAAAGTCTCCTTAATGTTACGAGCAGATTTTATCACAATTTCATTCATAAACGGAATTTATAGTCAATAACAATTCAAAAAACTTTCCCAATAGCTAAAGTGTTCTAATTTCAACTACACCTCTGGTGCCTCATAACAATACTTCGACTTCTAACCGTTAGAAGCAGAATTTATGGCCAAAGGTCGGTGGCCGATTTATGGCCTTTCTTTTTCATTTTAGAACGCACGCTAGTACACATTCAGAACAATTTTTTCTTGCTTTTTAGTTCACTTGAAAAGCGTAGTTTCTTAAAAATCTATATTATATAATACACCAATAGGTATTTAATAATTTCTTTTTCGCGTTGGCAACAAGGAATTGAAATATCAAGCAAGTCGGCAGTCATAAACATGAAACACAAAACAACATCTAATAAAAAGACACCAACTAAATAAAATCTATAATATCATAATCGAATTATTTCCACCTTGATGTGCTTTTTCAGTTATCATAAATGAAGCTTTCAGCAATGTATTTCTAAGGTGATATCATTTAATTCGTTACTTAATTTAGTTTAACTCCGACAGTATTTTGAAACTGATGTAAAATTTACTATTGTGTATGTACAGTGCACAAAAAAATGAAAGGCCTAGAATAACTTTAAATCTAATGATCGTATATAAACTTACTGTGAGGAGAAAAATATTCTAGCAAAATTACCGTGAATTATGGTAAGGAAATTTCTGAATAAAACACAAAACAAATCTAATTCTGGTTTTTAAACCAAAGTGTACGGTATTTAAAGCATCCATTCGTTAATTTTTTCGTTCAAATATGGTAACGGTTTACCAGATATTTTAGTTTTTAAAATTATAGTTCTTATTACCACGCAATTATTATAAATACAAAACTGAAAAGTAAATTGAACCGAAAAAGTGTTTTTTTTTATATCATGCTTCAAGGGGTCTGGTTCATTTCATCGACAATCACTTCATCGACAGGCCGTTTCATCGACACCACTTCATCGACAGGCCATTTCATCGACTAGGTCATTTCGTCGACAGGCCGTTTCCTCGACAGGGTCGTTTCGTCGACAGGCCATTTCGTCGACAAGGTCATTTCGTCGACATTCTAAAAAATTGTTGT